TAAGAGGTTATGGAAAAATTTATAATACACATTTTTGCAAGAATCATATAAATTTTGCACTTTTCACAAGGTTTTTGCAAGATGGTAAAACAACTAAAACAATTTCCTCTTTTAAAATTTTTGAGATCGTTTTTTACAGATTTGATAAAAAACATCTCATTTTTGCATACACGATGAAAACATCATTACATGCTTTTGCATTTTGCAGTGTTTTTCCTAACATTTTTTGCATAGATTTTAAAAAATCAAAGAAAAACTTGCAATTTGGGAAATTTTTCATTACATGTTTTTGTTTTTTTAAAAAGTTATTGTAAATAGCACATCCATTCTGATTTTCTTTCACGTTAAAAACAATTGATTAATAAGTTTGCTGTTTTTATTCATTTTTACTTATTTTTTGAGGCATTCAACTCATCCTATCTAAAAATTTGATACATTTTAAACTTCCCATTTAATCTTTCTTTACTTATTGAGATGCCGGCGCTGAATAAAAACGAAAGAGTTGCATGTGTTGAATGTGGCAGAGAATATACTCGCTTACACGCATCAAGACATCGTAGAACCTGTGGTGTTTTGAAGTGTTATAACAGTATTTTTATACTGTATAGCAGCGAGGAACTCACTAATCACTTCACGAAGAAGCATTGTCAGCATAAGGTTAAATTATGTGCTCAGCAGTCTCTAAACACACTTCACGAGAAGTTAAAATTAATAAATTTTTTTTTAAAAAACATAGTAATTACTATGAATATTGGTTTTTACTGAATCTGAAAAGTCTAAACAATTGTAATAGATTTAGTCAAAAAATAGACACTATTTTCATCACAATACCTGAACTGTCAATCAATTTTTTATTCAAAGGTTTTGATTGAAGATAAAGACAGCAAAAATCGAGTTCAAAATGTCGTGAAACTTTCCATGGAACTCGATCCGAAAAATTTTAATCAACGGTAAAAACTCCCTTGCTTGCAAGCTTGCGCAGACTTTGTTGCGATAATTTTATATTAAATGTGCATAACATATGCTGATGAGTTTTTAAGTGGTAGCCTAAAAAATGTAAAACTTGGATATTTGTAAAACTTCGACTAATTGAAAGGTTTGTGTAGTTACTATTTCAAATGTTTCGTTGTTTTGTGCTTGCAAAAGTGTTCATAGAGTAGAGCGTTTTTAAGCAGACAATGGGGGTTGACTTATTAAGAATTATGGTTTTCTATTGTTTTTCTTGATGATTTCAGAAAAAAAAATTGATAAATCTCCTGGAAAAAACTAAAAAATTGCTAAACTTTGAAAATTTCAAGATAATGATATAGTTTTTTCTAAACTAAAAACTTACTCTAAAACTGAAATTCAGATTTAAAACAGCATTAGACAGTTATGAGGTTGAGAAAAACTTTTAATGACTTTTAGCAAAGGATTTATGGTATTAATTCTGCTTCGGATTGTTCAATGTTCGTTGAAACGATCGATTTTTCCATTCAAAATTCACTTTTCAAGTAAAAATTTGTTCAAATTGGATTAATTTGGTAGATAGTAGTTAAGGAAGTAACTGAGAAAATGCTTAAATGAGATAGAAACTCAATTTATTTCATTCGGAGTTTTGAAATTATTTCACTAAAATTTAGCTTATAAAGTACTGCATGAGAAAAAAATCCCATATAACCTGAACTGTCATTTATTTTCTTATTCAAGGTTTTGATTGAAGATAAAGACAGCAAAAATCGAGTTCAAATTGTCGTGAAACTTTCCATGGAACTCGATCCGAAAAACTTTAATCAACGATAAAAACTCCCTTGCTTGCAAGCTTGCGGAGATTTTGTTGCAATAATTTTGTATTAAAAGTGCATAACATATGCTGATGAGTTTTTAAGTAGTAGCCTAAAAAATGTAAAACTTGGATATTTGTAAAACATCGACTAATTGAAAGGTTTGTGTAGTTACTATTTCAAAGATTTCCTTGTTTTGTGCTTGCAAAAGTGTTCATAGAGTGGAGCGTTTTTAAGCAGACAATGGGGTTTGAATTATTAGGAATTATGGTTTTCTCTTTTTTTTTGATGATTTCAGAAAAAAATTTGATTAATGTCCTGGAAAAACTAAAAAATGTATGTTATTGCTAAACTTTGAAAATTTCAACATAATGATATAGTTTTTTTCCAAAGTAAAAACTTACTCTAAAACAGAAATTCAGATTTAAAAGAGCATTATGAAGTTATGAGGTTGAGAAAATTATTTAATGACTTTTAGCAAAGGATTTATGGTATTAATTCTGCTTCGGATTGTTCAATGTTCGTTGAAACGATAGATTTTTCCATTCAAAATTCAATTTTCAAGTAAAAATTTGTTCAAGTTGGATTAATTTGGTAGATAGTAGATGAACAAGTAACTGAGAAAATGCTAGAATGAGATATAAACTCAATTTAATTCATTCGGAGTTTTGAAATAATTTTACTAAAATTTAGCTTATAAAGTACTGCATGAGAAAAAATCCCACATAAAAATTCTCAAAGATTTATTTTTTTTGCTTAAATCATTAGCAAATTTTGTTATCATTTGATATATTAGGTACTATATAAAAAAAATCAGATGTTTTGAGGATAATTAGCTTAAATTAAACCCAATCCGACATCTTTTGGAAGATGATACATGAAGCATAAATCAAAAATTTGCTTTCAAGATCTACATTTCATTATTTTTACTTAGCAAAAATCGGAAAATATACAATTGTTTCAGTTTGCAACTTGATTTCCTTTGCTTAAGAAATTTTTTGAGACGCGCTCTCTTAGAAGTTTTTAGGTATTGTAGATGTTGGGAACTAGGTTCTCTTGCGTATTTCCGGAGGTTTTCAGATTATAACTAATAAATCTGCTCTTAATTTGATCTTAAATCGTAAAAATACACCGTTATAATATCATTTTTACATATATTTTGGATGCTTTAAATAGCACCAAGACTTTCTCACTTGGATATTCTCGAGAAAACTTGATAGTTTTTGATGCCAAAAGTTGTATTTTTGCCAAAAGTTGTAAGAAAAGTGATAGTTATTGATGACAAAAGTTGTATTTTTGCTTAAATATTTTACTGTAGCAACTGAACTAGGGAACCTTGGGGAAGATATTTACAATTTTCAGCTTAATTATCAGACGGTATCACTTCTAATGTCATCTCTGCCAGCAAATTGTTCGTCAATTGATACTATTTTCCTCCTAAATTCTCCAGTTCTGACAAAGTTTCTCGTAAAGTGTGTTCAATAGCGAAAACATGTATTAGGCAGAAAGCAAGAATAACCTTAAAACATAGAAAAATTCTACGGAAAATTATGAAAATTGTGTTGCAGAAATAACAGAGAGATAACCATCAGTTATGAAGATTTTTTTGAAATTGAGCCAATGTCGAATAAAAATTTAAGAAAAATGTATCCAATATTTAGTCACTTCTAGCAGTTTACCAATCTTCGTTTATCAATGACCTGAACTTTTTAATTATTGACAAGAAAAATTTCTGATAAGTTGTAATGGTTGTACAAATTTTGATAACTTATTGAGAAAAAAATTAGGAGTTGAATCATGGAGTTTGATCTAGAAATTTCATGGAATATTGCGCTTAATATTCATTTGAATTTAGATTCATATTAGAACTCACCCTGAACTGGACAAAAAAAACTAGTTAATTACCAAAATAAAAGATTCATAATGGAAAAATTTGGGTAAGTTTGATTAACTTTTATTTTATCTTCTGAAAAATTACAATTAGTTTCACTGCTTTCCGAAAGTTTCAATATTGTTTCAGCTTTTATGAGCTTTCTTCTTAGTGTTTAGAGCATCATATATCCCGCTTTTTAGCTCAAATTAAGGTAAATTTTATCTTATTTAAATATTTTGAGAAAAAATTGTGGAAAAAAATCTTTTTTTTTATTCAAATTTTTGTATCATTGTCCCAACATGATGCCTATTAATATACAGTCTGAGTTTTTTTTGTTTTCAATACGTAAAAAAATGTTTACAGCTAGATCAGAAGCAACAATACTTTAAACAAAGTTATGAGATTTCTGCAATTTTTTTCCAAAACTTGAAAGTTTTGCAATTTTTTCCAAATACTTGAGTTTTTTGTAATTTTTTCCCAAAAATTTGACTTTTTTTGAACTTCAGTAGGTTTCAGAATATATTCAGATAGATAGAAAGTGAAAGTATCTTTATTAGAATTTTGATCTAAATTTGATCTAAATTTTTATTAGATCAAATTATACCAAATCTTTTTAACAAGTTTTTTTTGATGAAAATTCCACGTTTTTGCGCAAAAACTTTTACCATTGACTTACCATGCGCCAAATAATTAAATACATAACTTAATTCTACAATCTACACGTGATTAACGTTTAATTACTCCCAATTAGATAACGCGCGCCAAAAACTTTGCGAAAAAATTAAACATTTCCACACAAAAACCAAAAAAAAATCGTTTTTCTCACCATTATCTTACCATCACACAAACCATAAAACGTTACCATCGGTATTCTCTATCTTAATACCTTGTAGACTCTATACCCAATCTTAATACATAGCATGGCGGACCGGAAATCTATAACGTATCTTAATACATGGGGTCCGCCATGCACCGCCCCCCCCCCCCCTCCACTTCAGCTCCAACATCTACTACTATAGACTCAAAATGAACAGAAAAAAAAATTGCTTAAAGTTTTACAAAATTATTGTGGTTGAATTCATTTTGTGGAGTTCGAACCCAAAATTTTACCCCAAGAATGGGTCATTTCGGCCGTTCTTATTTAATCAAAAATTTACTGGAAGTACCAAGTTAATTGACAAGAACCTGGCATCGAAAGGAGCCTCTTACCCAGTCTAACTAATTTTTAGAAAGGTAAAATCTCCAAAAATTCTGCTATGTTCTTTTTTGGTCTAATCTTAACCCAATTTGAGATAAATGGGTGTAAAATTTTTAAGTTGCATTGGGTTGCGAAATGTAAACTCGTGGCTGTGTTTGCGTTTCAGTTGATGGACATCGATTGGTGTTTGTGGAGGCCATTCCCTCCTGCTACCAAGTGGTGCGCTTCCAGGCCCAGCTGGACATGAAGAGAGATGTGCACTACACCATTGGAGTTTCAGAGTCAGGCTAGTTGTTCATGCGTGGTGTGATTAAATAAACTACGATTCACACGCGTAGAACTGACAAACTGACAACAGTAAATTAGGCACAATAAGAAAGAAAAAGGCAACAGTTGTGCTCAAAAACAGGAATAAGAAAGAAAAAATTGAAAATGAAGATGTTATATTTTTTGTACAAAATTTTGTAAATTTTTTAGATTTTTTTTTGGCCAGGGAAGTCCCAAATGAGGCTTCCAAAATTAGTTATTGTTTAGAAAAATATACGTTCTATAGCCTAATTGACCAATAAAACAAAGTTTCATCTGTTATCACCTTATTTGCCGCGAAATTAGTCTAAAAGTATCATAATAATAATTATAATCATAAAAATAATCATAATAATAACAATAAAAATAAAAATAAAAATAATCATAATCTTTATAATAATAAAAATAATAATAATCATATTAAAAATCATAATAATAATAATAATAATAATAATAATAATAATAATAATAATCGTAATAATAGTTTTAAAAAAATTATGAACATAATCATAATCATAATCATACTCATAATCATAATAATCATAAAAAAAATAATAAAAAAATTATGTTACGAATCGAGCCCATTACAGAAGGCTACAAGCCTGTTTGCAGATGATATTTCAGAACAATTTGGAAATGTGTGAGCAGTTTCACATAACATGTTTTTTTTCTGTGGATCGTAAGCATAAAGACCGACAATGTTCTTCATATTATAATTTATCATTATGAAACAAAAGAGTTACTCGTCATAAAAAAGTTCAACTCAGTTTTTACTGAAAAACGTTTGAAAAAAAAAAAAAAATCCTTATCTTGTAGATATTGTCTTCTTGTTTATTAAATTGAAGACTTATACCTGCACCAAAATCATTTCTGTTCAAATAATTTTTAATAAAGACTAGGATGATTATTTATGACGAGTAACTAGTTTTTTTCATAATGATAAATCATGATATAAAAATCATTGTCGGTCGGAAGCACAATATTGTGCAGAGTCCGGCTAGTTGCTCATGCGTGGTGTGATTCAAAAGCAATGCACACGCGTAGAAGTGACAACAGAAATTTAAGCATAATCAACAACAGTTGGGTTCAAACAAAATAAGAAAAAAAAAATTCGAAATTAGTCTTAATTTTTTGCACAATAATTTGCAAGTTTTTTAGAATTTTTTTGGCCGGGAAGGTGCCAAATGAAGCTTCCAAAATTAGTTCATGTTTGGAAAAACAGATTTTGAAGCCTAAGTGACCGATATAATCAAATGTCATCTGTTATCGCCTTACTTGATCGAAATTTGTCTAAAACTATAATAATACTAATCATAATAACATCAGCACATTACAGAAGGCTACAAGCTTGTTTGCAGATGCCAATTGCGAGAAGTTTGGAAGTTTGAGAGCAGTTTCACATCACACGTTTTTATTTGTGGATCGGAAGCATAACGACCGACAAGGTTTCGCAAAATATTAATTCATCTTTATGAAATATATTAGTTACTCGTCAAAAAAAATTCAACCCAGTTTTTACTGAAAAACGTTTGAACAAAATTCAGTATCGTGCAGGTATTGTCTTGTTTATAAACTTGGAGACCTGCGCCAAAAAGATTTCTGTTTAAATAATTTTTTAGCAACGACTAGGTTGTTTATTTGCGCCGAGTAACTCGTTTTTTTTTCATAATGATAAGTCATAATACAAAAATCACTACCGATTTTTATGCTTCTGATCTGCTTTTAAAATTGGTTTATGTAAAGTTTTAGGGTTAACTTGGTTGAAAAACAAAAATTTAGTTTCTGACCTTTCAGAATGCTCTCAAATGGCATCTGAAAACAGGTTTGTAGCATTACGGTTACCATTCGAAATTGTTTGCTGAACGTTGTATTATCGCTAACAAAATATTAAAAGCAGTCTGACAATCTTTTCGAAAATAAGTCTTATTCGCTCACTTTTTTTTTAAATTACAGACCGTGTTTGTAATGGTCTAACCCCTGTGTAACTTATATATGCGCCTATTTATTTTTGTTGGTTTGATATTTTTCACATCTCATCTTGCGTTTTGTTTCCTTTGTTGTTTGTAAAGTATATCTAGACTTGTTTTTGAGGTGCAGCACACTTTTCCATATCGATAATTTGTTTACTAATGGCTTTTATTAGCAATCTTTTAAGTGGTTCATCCAAAAACATGTTTCTGGTTTGGCAGAGAAATGAAGATATGCTTCGGCGCATGTTTTTTGAGATAGTGAAACTGAAATTGCGATCGTTTTGAACTCCTAAATACTTAACATCAGTTTCTGTTTTCAACATTTTCCCTCGAAAGTTTTAATTTCTGTAAGCTGAAAAATTGTTTTGGTTCTGTGCTGATAACTTTATTTGCAGCCAGCCTTATTTCGATTTTGTTTAAATCCCTATCATAGTTTTTTTCACCGAATTTTACCATATACATTAGAATCATCTGCAAAAAGAAAACCTTTGTAATTTTTTTGGAAGCTTGAGTAGATCACTGATGTAAGATTGAAATAAAGTTGGACCTAGAACTCATCCATAAAGGACACCGCACTCCAATTTCTGCTGTGTACTCTTGTTTGATATACTTAAACAAATAAATAACGGTTCTCTAGGTATGAGTTTAGAATCGAAAATGATTTTCCTCTCAATCTATTCCTTGAGAACTTTCAAAGCAGAATCTCTTGGTTTTCAGTATCAAAAGAGTTTGATAAATCAAACAATATGACAAACTGTATATCTTTGTCTGACAAAAAAAATTCGATTGATTGGAGAAACTCCATGGCTGCATCAATTATTCATCGTTTTGACGTGAATCCTTTGTTTGTTTTAAAAAAGTTCATTTTCCTTAAGACATCTAAGAGACCTTCAGTAGAATTCTTTTCATCGTTTTGACATGAATTTTTTGATTATTCATCGTTTTGACATGAATCCTTTGTTTGTTTTAAAAAAGTTCATTTTCCTAAAACATCTAACAGATCTTCAGTAGAATACTTTTCCCAAGACTGGTAGAAGTGATTTTGGCTTGAAATTTTTAATTGGTCTTCTGCTTTAGATTTTGCTCCGTTGAAACGAAAGTTTTTGTCCAAAGAAGGGTTCAAACCTAGTGGCTTCAAGGTCACCTCAAAGGGCTCTTTAAGGACAAAACTGTTTAACATGGAGTTCAAAACCGACGAATCTTTCATGGACATTAACTTTCTTCTCAATGGCGTTAAGCTTGTAGACTTCTCGCCCGAAACAAAAGCAAACGATGTGACCATTTTCAACAGAGAACTGAACGAAATGCTTTTCGAGGAGGTCCAGGACGTTGAGAGGATGCCAGGAGAAAAGTCATTTCAGGAAGTTTGGAATAGTCGTGGTTTTGCAGAAAGAATTCTGAGGCCAGAACCCAAAAAGGAAGAAAGGGAGACATCTAATGAAATTTTTGAGAAGCTACTTGATGTGCAGCAGAATACGTTCAGTTTGCTGCAAACGTCTCTTGAGAAACAAGGTTCATTTACAATTTTTGACTAGTATAATTTTTTGCTAGAATTTTTAATGCATCAACGCTACTTGCTGCGACAAATGATCTTGTACAAAAAAGTATACTTGAAGGAATTTAATACCTGATTATCTAGTAAAGCTTAGTGGCGCACGCAGAGGGGGGGGGGGCTGCTATAATAACATATGGCTAACTTATGTTCCAGGCTGCCATGTACTTCTTGCGGAACAAGTGGATCCGAGAGAGAGTGTGCCTGAATTGCTTTCCAACTACTTCTTCGCACCCAACTGGGCGGCACAGGCGGGCATTCAAAAGAAGAGCCAGCTGAAAATCCCCATTCCCAAAGGCATCCTGATGAAAGAGGGTGGGTCAGTGGTACCTTCTAAGGTCAAAACAACCAGACTCAACATACATCAACAGATGGCTGCATTCATTGACAGCGAGGATGCAATTGAGAACGTCAATGTTAATGTCGACTCCAGAAAGTATGTTGTTCTAGTATTACTTCTCATATGATGAACAATTTTATGTTCATTGTCTTTTTATCATTTGTATTCTAAGACATTCATTTTTTGAAAAGGTCTCTTGCATTAGTTGAACTATTTGTAGAATGAGTGCTAATAATAGCTAACATAACTAATGTTAAAATTGAGAGAAAAAAACTTGGAATTTGTCTACTTCAGTATAAAAAACAAAAGTTTTCGGACCAACTTTCCTTGACATAGAAAACTTCCACTTTTTTTGCATAATCCGGATCACAACTATAAGTGATGTGATTTGATACATAACTTGACCGACGAGCTTTCATTGAGGTTGTCTAAATTTGCTGGCAAAAAAAAACAAATTGAAAAACGCAATGGTGGTCGGATGGTGATCTTCGAGTGATCAGAACAACAAATTTAAATCAATATAACGTTTAATCTGCAATTGTTATACTTAAAAAATTTGAATTGTTATCATGGCACCATAATCTGTTCCAAGTTTCCTTTCCTTATTTTTTGCCTCCTCAACCATGAGCAATGATCTAATTTATTCTGTACTTTCGTTGACTACGTTCCAAACCGTTAAAACAATGAGGGGTTTTTCAATCTAACTTTTTCAATCGAACACTTTAATTTTACCATCTTTTATTTAAGCGCAACGCCAAATGCTCCATGGATGCAATATAAAAGCATTTTTAAGATGGCACAGTGTTTAACGAAAGTTTTTAGTGACGTTGCTTAAGCAAACAATCTAGAATCTGAGTAATCTAGAACCTTTTTCAATCCGTTGCAAAGCAAGAGCAGTGCAAGGCAGGGCAGCGCAAGGCAAGGCAGAGCATGGCAGGACAGAGTAAATCAGAGCAGGGCATAGTAATGCTGGCCAAGGCAGGGCAGCTGGAGGCAAGGCAGAGTATCGCAGGACATGGTAAATCAGAGCAGGGCGAGGCAAATCAGGGCAGTGCAGCGCAAAGAAGGGCAGCGGAAGACAAAGCAAAACAGGACAGGCCGAGGCACAGCAGCGTGAAGCCAGACTGGGCAGGAAAGCGCGTGGCAATGCAGGCCAAGGCATGGCAGCGGAAGGCAAGGCAAGGATAGGCAGGGCAGCGCAAGGCAAGGCAAGGTAGCGCAAGGCAAGGCAAGGCAGTCCAGCGCAAGTCAAGACAGGAAAGGCCAACGCAATGGGCGGCAGGCCAAGACAAGATAAGCCAGCACAAGGCGAAGCAGCGCAAGGCAAGGCACGTTATTGTGATTCAGGGCAAGGCTGGAAAAGTCAGGCCACAACAAGGCAGCTCAAGTCAGGATAGGGCAGCGCAAGACAAAGCAGGGCATCGCAAATCCTGACTGGGCAAAGCAACAAGTTGATAAATACTAATTTAATTGAAAAGCAATTTTTTTTCAACTCGAATTCTTGATAAAATTCATTTTCAGATCTCGGTTCAGAGCAATACCAAATATCCAGATTATGCATCCGTCGTCCATTGATCTAATCATCCCTACAACGATACATCTAGCTTCCATCAATCTATCCATCAAGCCTTTCATTCATCAAGCGATTCATCCATCGAATCAGTTCCTCATCTATCGATAACCATTAGCCTTCAATTCATACAGAAAAGGATCCATCCATCAAAACAACCAGTCTACACATTCAGCCAGTGTTCCATCTACCTAGCTATTCAGCCAAACGTCTATCCAGCCATCATTTCATCTAGCCATTCAATTAGCTAATCATCCATCCATATAGCCATCAATCCATACTCTCATCAATTCAGATATCCATCCAATCAAAAATCTTTTGATACAGCCATCACTGAAGCTAAGCATCTCTCTTCTAATCTATTCATTTAGCTGTCTAGCTATCGATCTAAACAACCATCCAGACGTCTATCCATCTATTCATGGCTTCATCCTGCCTTAAACCATTCATTCTTCCAGTCATATATTTTTACTTCCTTCGAGTAGGCCAGCCACCTATACGACCAGCTAACCATCTATTTTATATTTTTTCTGTTAAAGATAAGCATTATCATTTTTCGGAAAAAAATAAGGAGTAGTAGGCCTGTTAGTTATATTTTCAAAAATGATGCCTGCCATTTGAACACTCTGCCATTTTTGGAAAAAACTTGGTATTTCGTTACTTTAAATTGACTGGCAATTTTTTCTAGCTTTAATTTATTTCGTCATTGAATTGAATCGATTTATCCAAAGAACTGTCATTCATAAAGCTAAAAAGAAAGGTAGGTTTGCGGTCAAATCTAAATCAATCGTGAAATTTGAAAACTTTGCAATGATTTGCAACAACTTGGCTCAACGGCTATAACGAGGATAGTCGGATGCTAAAAAATGAAAAAATGAAGAAAACAATGAAATCATGTGTTCCGTTAGAAGCGACTAAACTAAGTAAACATTTCTAGGAATGAGATTTTGTTTTAACAACGTAGCAATTGAACAATGTAAAACTTTTAGTAGGTGTAAACTAAGATTTGTAGAAATGAAGAGTCTCTCGACCATTTGACCCCATACGAGCTGCCTTCGCGTGAGGCCTCAATTCGTAGCTAGCATCATTTCATAACAGGAGATGCAAGCACTGGCTTTCACGCAATGTACTTCTCGTGACGAATGTAAAGAACAGCAGTGCCAAGGTTCTCTAGTTGTCAATGAATATTACGAATTGTCTCTTGTTACGAATAGTCGCCAACCCTGCTTTTGAAGTTGCAAAGTTGAGTAGAAGCAAGGCTAGTAGAAACAACTAGCTGACAAAATTAGCTGCTTTCAAATAACAAAAAATTCGTTTCTGTATGATTTTAAGTTTCGCTCGAATTGAAGACACTGATTTTGGCCGTTTTTTTCAAGATCAGTCTGAAAATTCGTTCGCAATTTAATTTTTCGGGATTTAGAAATTGAATGCGTTTCAAATTTTGTTCAAAAATGTTTCTAAAAAGGCAATTACAATAGTGTGACGCGATTTACCCTTGTTCCAAAATTGAATTTCGTTTTTAGATTTTAGAATAATTTAAAGATTTTGAAAATTGCCTGATGATCAATTTTTTCAATTGATTTAGTTTTGTCAGAAGTTTTTCACTCAAAGAGAGTTGTCAAAATTCAAGAAGCCTCAGTGTGACCTTTTTTTAATTCAAACAATTCTGTCAGTCTTTTTTTTCGGTTCCTTGAGTTTTTTGACACTTTTCCAACATTCAGTTGTCTGTGTTTTTTTTTTCAAAATTTTAACGGCATTAACTTCTTGGCAACGATCTTGCATTTTTGACGACCAGTTTAGTCGCCTAAAGGTAGTTGTTTTTTTTTTTTGAAAGAAGGCGGCAATTTCGTCCAACTTCTCATCTGATTTATGGTCTTCTCCAAATCAATACCATCGAAATTTTCTCCAATTACTTGGTTACCGTCAGAGGGTTGATTTTAAGTAACTCTGTAAAATGGTGCAGAAGCGAATGCCGAAAAGAGTCACTGTACTTGATTCAAACCCAGAAACCATCTTCAATGTTATGTTCAACTTTTTGTTCCAACTCATGAAGCTTTTACCGCAAATAAATGTAAGATGATTTTAACGGAAACCGAATAATATATATATTAGAGAGTTCTCAGTGGTGATTTGACTGATATCAAGTGCTCTCAAAAATTTCTCAATTTCGAGAAAGAACGGCTTGAAGTGTTTTTCTTGCGCAGTTGTGAATACAGTAAGCTCTAACTTTGGAGGTCGAAGTTTGGAATTCTATAGGAGACATTTTTTCAATTTCCAAAGCTAATTTATTTAATTTATTGCCCATGCGACAAGCAAGGGTATTGCAACCAGCTACTACACTTTTTTTATCGTAAACAACTTTGTCCACAGAGTTCACACGCGAATTGAAACGTGTTTTACTCTGCGGTTGCAATATTTTATCTGCATATTAGGTATGAGCTTTGTGTGCTTTTTATCCTTTAATAGTATTTTTGTGCCAAAAATTTTTGGTGTTAAATCGGCACTTGAATGTGGGCTCTAATTCCGTCGGCTCATTTTTCGTGATTTATTTCAATTTATTTTTGTTGGTGACACAATCCAAATGACACAATCCAAATGCTTTTCAAGAAAGAAAAAAACGAGACATATGAAATGTACCAAAAGTTGTCTAGAAAACAAAAGAAGGTGAAACTCTGGAAAAATGGAATGGCGGCCAGGTGGAATCTCAGAGGACAGGAGCTAAAATTGAAGAGGTTCCTCTTCCTCGTTAATATTGGGAACCGAGACGCCCAGAACAAACTGCATAGAGAAACAAAACCCCGGAAGAGGCTCTGAAGATTGCCATGTCATACTAGCGAACAAAGCGACAAGTAAGTAGGCAAAAATGTACAAAGGAAGGACTACATGAGCTTCCGGAAGCGGTTGCACACCCCGTAGGGAGCACTTCAAATAAAAGCCGAATCAGTGAGCGACATTCGAGAACCAATGGGACGCCGAAATTACCAAAATCGCAGAGGACTCAGAACGCCGAATGAGAGGACGACCCTTGTATGAAGGGAGTTCCAGCACACTCACTCCGTAGGTTTTGTAAAAAGGAGGGAACATCGCTGGTCCTCGGAAAATTTGGACGACAACCTAGTAATGGCAATACGTCGTAAAAAGGAAACACATCTGAAAATGGTCATGACGAAATTGAAACAAGCAAAAAACAGACATCCAATGAACATTTCAATTAACAGCGGATCGCCGGTATCAATCTTCACAGTGGACAATCTCGAGAAGATTCGCCGATAAACAGTAATCCAGTTGAAGCAGAAGAGTGATCAGGACGATGAGTTTTGTGACTACAGGAACAAAAAACTCAATCTCGTGCGGAAAATGAACGGTGAGTTGGCATCGATTGGATGGAGAGCCAAGGGAGAAGTCAGAGTATTAGGAGGAAGCAGGTCGTCAACCGTGGGACGAGATGTAATGGGGAAGCTGGTGATACAAATCGAGCAAGCAAATCCCGGTTTAGCAATCATGAAGATCCAGGGTTGCAGAACCA